TCTGCCCAAGCCTGTGGTATGTAGCAGTGTGTTGTAGTTGTTGACTGTGAATACTTAGGACAGATGCCACTGAATGTCATGTGAAGACACTGATAAATGCTTCTTTTTTTCTTTAGATACTCTTCTGAAATGAAACCTTTTGCCTTGTTTTCCAGGCTTTGCCCTTGACATCTTGTTTGCCATTGCAAATGGATTCTCACCCTCATACGAATTCTTTGCCATCTCTCGCTTCTTGGTAGGGATGATGAATGGTGGGATGTCACTGGTGGCCTTTGTTCTACTGAATGAGTGTGTGGGTACTGCCTACTGGGCATTAGCAGGTAAAAGTTTGAGTGTCAGTGTTTTTATTGTCAGAATCTATAGATTTCAGTCTCACACACCAAAGCTAACACCATAGCAGTTGTGAATTTAAGTCTGCTTGAGGATCTGTGACCAGTCTTTGAGTCCTGCTTTGTTATTATGAACTTTAGACAAGCACAGTAGATGACTTGGGGCCATTCAGATTTCTCCATCACTCAAGTTGACAAAGGTCCAGTTGAAACATCCCCTGTGAATGTTACACAGCTAAATACTCATCCAAGGTTCATCATAACTGAGTTCTAGCCATCAGAATTTTGGACTCTGCCAAGCAGAGCTTAGCGTTTGTATGCTAGATATAAATTCTTTCATTCCTGGCAGTTCTCAAAGAAATCAAAAGTGGGTTTATATGATGGGAAGATGAGACAACTATTGTTTATATGTTTAAAAAAAAAAGTTGTCCCATGTGGTAATCAACCTTAGAATTTAGAACAAAAGGTACAGACACCCTTAACTGTCTTGGTCGCTAGTGTTGAAGCTGTCCTTCAGATGTGATACATATAAATTGTCCCGTTACAGCACTGGAGCCTAACTTACCTAACCTGTGACAAGTGCCAAAGAATTGAGAGTATTTTAAAATGGAATATCTTACAAATCATGAGAGCTACCAATGAATACTATATATTCCTAAAAAATGCCAATTTTCCAATGGCTTGTAGTATTTTTACACATAGAAAGCTCAAACATACTTATATTTGGAATTACAAGACTTAATTGCTTATGGGGCTTTGGGTGAGGAGGATATAGAAGGGTGCTTTTTGTGCTTGTATTGATCTTTGCAATTAGATATAAAACTTCTGCCCTGAATGGGTGAAGGACAGAATATTCTTTGGTCAAATACCTGTGGTTTTACCTGTATTGCTGAGTGAATTTTTCTTAATGAAGTTAGTTTCTGTCTGATCCCATGTGTTGAGAGTTAATGTTCCTTAAAGGAGTGATGATGTTTTGGTTTTCATTGTATATTAGGATCTATTGGTGGCTTGTTCTTTGCTGTGGGAATTGCCCAGTACGCTTTACTAGGCTACTTCATTCGTTCCTGGAGGATGCTGGCTGTTGTGGTTAACCTGGAAGGAACAGTTGTCTTTCTTCTATCTCTGTAAGTTATTTTTTCAAACTGAGTTTCATCAAGATGTCAAAAATAAGAAAATTTTAAAAAACCAAAACCAAACCAAACAAACCCCCAAACAAGTCAAGGTGCTTTTCTGGGGTGGCATGAAATGGTATAACTAACGTATTTCTCTCAAACTCTACCACCCCATTTTCTATGTTATCTTTAAATAGCAGTGTTGTAGTATTTGAAAATGTAAGTGTATATCATATCGTATATGCATTATTACTGTGATGGGAACAATTTCTAGAGTGTAGAAGCACATCCTATTCTTTAACTGTTATATGTAGATGATCTAAACTGTTGTCTAGTATGCTAAAAGACTCTACATGTGTTAAAAGATACAGAAATGTTTTTGTGGTTATATGATAACGTGACGTTTCTCTTACAATTGTGCTTGCACAGAAGGAACAGCATCAAAATTGCATGTGCATACATTCTTAAAGGTGACATGCAAAATTAAAATTGGGCAGCTTCCTTTTTTCAAATGTGATTAAGAAAGAATAGAAGAAGGCTTCTTTACTGAGATAGTAGGGGTTTTGTATTTGTGGACTTCAGCGCTGAAAGCTTTATGATGCAGTGTGCTCTTCTTATATGCTTCCTTACAGCAAAATCTCAGTAACTGAAAGAAGAAAATAACTTTAGCTGCTGTTTAAACTTAAGGCCTTTTTCCTTCCAACTTCTGTTTAACTTCAGTAACTAACTTTTTGACTAAGGCTCTTTGCTAAAGAGTCAACACACCCTTTCAAAGGTAGCATTCGAACTCAGGTTTTAGAGGCTGTTCATGAGGTAAATATCAGAAATGTCATCTCTGCCTTTTCAAAACTTAAAGTGGTGTTTGGGGCCTTTAGAAAAAAAAACTTTCAGATTGATACATAGAGTTTTTTAAGTACTTTATGCTTGGGACTTCAGAGCTGCGCTCAGAGGCCCATCTTACTGTAAGAAACATTTTTTTTTTACTCCAAATTTCACACTGCCTTCATTCCACTTTGCTTAAATTGCTCTGCAGAAAATGCTATCAGATTTTTTTTTTATGATGAGGAAGAAAACATGTTCCTTTCTAAGCTCTTTTCATTTATAAAAGCACATAATCACTTTCCTTTAATTTTAAAGGGAAAAAATGTCACTTCTGGTCAGAGGAAAAAATCTTAAAGCTTCTGGCAAAAGACTGAAGTTTAAATTAGTTTTGGGAATGGAAGTAATAGAAGATTTGTTTTGTAGGCTGTGTTGGAGTTACAGACCTACCACGTGCACAGTGCACATGAGGAGTGAGAGCAGGACCTTTGCACATCCTCTGCCTTCCTGTCTACGGGAGAGAATTTGGGGAAAGCTGGAAAATGAAAAAAGGAAGACAACTAGTTAATGTTACAAAAACATCTTGTGGTTACTTGTAGTAATGTGGTGCCTCCTTAATTCTGAATTATCCTAAGACAGTCCTAATGATACTGTAACTTGTAGTACTGTGTGTATATGTATATACTCAACCTAATTTCTTGGTATTACATTTGACTTGTGTTCCCTTTCCTTTCAACGTGCTTTGTCTCTGTTTCTGTAAGTGAATTCTATACCTGAAGGATTGTTTACTGAATTGTATTTCAGCTTTGTTCCCATAGGCAAGTCCAGCCTCACAGAAGACAAAAATCCTAAAGCTTTCTCTGTGTGTATGTGTTTCAGATTCATTCCAGAGTCCCCTCGCTGGCTCTATTCACAAGGCCGTCTGAATGAAGCAGAAGATGCCCTCTACCTCATTGCAAAGAGGAACCGCAAGCAGAAGTGCACTTTTTCATTAAAACTCCCAGCAGAGAGGAGCTCCAGAGAGGCTGGAAGTTTCTTGGATCTGTTCCGATATAAGATTCTCCTGGGACGCACCTTGATCATGATGTTTACCTGGTACTTGAAATACTTTGTAGGCCCAGCTGTGCTACTGTTGCCTCTTTAAGTCTTTGAGAGAACATACTGCTGAGAATTGGCTTATGCTGCAGATTGTACTTAGTCTCAGCCAGTATTATTAGGGACACTGTACCTAAAAAGGATCCTTGTATTATAGTATTTCCTTTGTGCATTTCTAATATGAAGCCATTTTTACAATCTAGTTCTGAGGTCTTATCTTTGCATTTCTGTTGTGCTTTTTGAGTCTCAGAATAGTTGATAACTATCTCTTGCTTTCTGACCCTCAAAGGCTGCTGAGATTAGTCATGCTGTCCTCTTTGGCCTGGTGCTATGTGTCAGTACTTTTAGTCACATGGATTATTCTTTGTTTTGTGTGTATGTGTAAGGAGCCCATTAGAAGGTGAGTGGCCTACCTTGTCTAATGAGTGTTTATTTTCTTAAGAGAAAGTGCTGCCACTGCTAGCAGTTGCTGTAGTAAGGAGCAGGAGTTACCTCTAGTCACTAGCAGAAATCTGACTCTCCAAAAGTGCATATTTTGTTTCAGATAGCTCTGCTAGGCCTGAGGTCTTTTGCTGCCACTTTGAAATAAACCTTATGTATTACATGGTATGTGAGTCCTCTGGCATTACTGTTCATGCTGTTGCTTTTATAATGCATATATTTGGGAATGATGTATTGATTTAAAAAAAACCAAATGGCATTATTTTGTAAGCAGACAACACAGAGCTGTTTCCTGTTGCTCTTCCAAATTCTTACTGCACAACAGTTGATTCCTGTGTTTCTTAAGTGAGAATTGCTGATTTCCTGCAGAATGAATTAGTGACCTGTTCCTTTCCTTCTCTAAAGACGACAGCCAGTCAGGGCTACAAAAGAAAAGTAAAAAATCAGAATTGGAGAATGAATAAAATTGGACTAGGGTGTAGAAATTAAAAGGCAGAAGTGTCATCTAAACTGTTTGAGAAGGGGTTTACACACAATTGGAAAAGTATGGACCAAAGTGAAACCTGATAAAAACAAAAAGGACAAAGACATAATTTTTCAAGTCAAATAATATAATCATGATCATATTTTAACTTTATTCTGGTTTATGCAGAGTTGTCTTAAGTGTAGTCTTAAGTTTACCTGAAGTCAGGAATTGGCTCTGTGCAGAGACAAAATGGTTTCTTTACCTAGAAAGTGTTGTCCAGTTGTAGAGAAACATTTTAGACCTATTTTCTGAAACACTAAATATAGTTTATAGTATATTGTGCCATGCTAGTGCTTTGATTTGGCAGGCAAAGCAGCAGCTCTGATTTTACTCTTTTTCTGTCTTTTGCAGGTTTGTTTGCAGTTTGGTTTACTATGGTCTTACCCTTAATGTGGGTGACTTAGGTGGAAGTATTTATGCTAACTTAGCCCTTTCAGGGTTGATAGAAATCCCAGCATATCCAATCTGTATTTACTTGATTAACCAAAAATGGTAAGTATGAAATTTATTAACTCATTCAGCGCTTTTTTTGTTATCTTTGAGAAAAATTATAGGTTTACTGTATATTGTATCTCCTAGCTTTGTATCTGTTGTGTGGGGCTTCCTGCTTCAATGTTACTACTTCATTATATTCTTCTGGGAAATGCATTTTTATTTGAAAGTGCCATTGATATATTTTTATTTCAAGTAAGTTTAACTTGTTCTCAGTAGCTCACTTATTAATGAGCTGCCTAAATTTGTCTCAGAGGTGAGGCTGAGCTCCTCTATCAGTTGAACTTGGCTGTGCTGAGTCCACACTAACACAAGATGGCATTCTTCCCACCTCTGTCTTGTAATCCCCATTCTCACTGTTATGTCAGAGCTTTTGCAATTAAACTCAGCTGAAGCTGTCGTGTGGTTTTATGTAGTAGCTGCTGCGTGCACTAGTATGTGAACTGAACTGTTGATTCAGATATTTAGCCTTTTTCTGAGCCATGATACTGTGGACAATGTCTTTCACTTTGTAGAATTCACCTCCCAATCTCTTCTCTACATGTCTCCTGAGAAGTTTTACAAATGTGCACACACAGTGGGAAGCAAATCAAAGTCCTAGAAACTGTCAGCCACTGCATAAAGACTTCTTGATGCTCATTTTGTTAAGAGTGAAGTAGAAGCTTGTTTAAAAACAGTGTGAGAGGAAGTGTTTGAGAGATGGCATTCAGAATTTCCAACTGCAAATAAAGAGGCAACGTGAGTTTAGAGGACTCATTGCTCTGCAAACTACAGATCTAATGCAGAATAAAGCTTTGTTATCCTTGCACATCAGGTTTGGTCGGAAGCGAACATTGAGTGCATTTCTGTTCCTGGGAGGATTGGCTTGTCTTATTGTCATGTTTCTTCCTAAAAAAAAAGGTAAATATTTCCTTTTTTTTCTGGATTATGTGATAAGAAGTTGTAAACACAGCATCCTACAGCCTGAGAATTTGATGGTTGCCAGTAGATGAGGTTCATACCAAATGCAAGTCTTAATTTTTGAAGCCAGAGAAGCTAACTCGCAAAAAGGATAAGCATTCCTAAGACCTTAAGGAAAGCTTTTTAGAAAGACTTGGATTTGAACTTTTGTCTTTGGATTCTGCCCTTTACTTCTGATCACATCAATCACTCCTTCCCAGTGTTTCTGATTTACCCAAGAAACATCATTCTTTGGAGTTATTTCTAGCCAAACGATAGGTCAACATAAATAGTACCTGTGCAACTTATGTGTGTATCTCAAAGTGAAAGACCAATGTCAAAAGGCCCTAAGCATTGAATCTTGGGGCAAGCTTCCATCTTTCCCTCACTGCTCTGTAATCTTCAAGACTGGTGTGATTGTGATATTAATGTGGCCATATAACTTATAGTTCAGAGAGCATTCTGAAAATCTTCTGAAGGAAAGGGTCTTTAAGAAATGTGAAATGAAATGTGTTTTTTGTAAAGACACACTAATGTTCATTTCTTCATTTTCAGATGTTTTTCAAAATGATATAAACAAAATTGCACAGTGAGCGATTTTTCCTTTGAAAACTAGGTACATAAATTCATCTCAGCTTGTAAGATTTGTGCATGTACAACACCTGTTATAAGGAGAGAAAATGCTTCAAACATTTGAAGCATGATTGAAAAAACTTAAGCATTTATGATGAGTGTATGCATAAGTTGGTCTAGATAGCAGTGAACCTAATAGGTAAAACTTTCTTTAAAGGGGTGCAATTGAAGTTTCCAGGAGTATTCCAGGTGGTAGAGCCCAGACGAGTAGTTTTTGCATATCAGTCCAAGTAAAATATATGAAAAGAAAGGGATTTTTTCAGAGGATAGAACTGTGAGAACCCAGGAAACCAGCTGTGTGCTGAACTGCCAAAGTCAGCCAGGAGCTGAGTACCTTAGGAAGTGAAATGGCTAACTGGCCAGAAGCAAGCACCTGTCTCTACTGACCATGACTTGTTCAAAGCAGCAATGGCTTATGCTGTAGCCTTCCTTGATAGGCATTTAACGCGTATTCTGATGTGCCTGGTATAAGCAAATAAGCACTGGCTGTTCTGACAAAACTGAGATGGAGGGGATATTTGGTATAGTTCTTCACAGCACCTTCCTGTCTTTTGTTTTTCTTCCAAAGTAATGATGTTACAAGCATGTTATCATGCTGTGGAATTGACATTGAATAAGGCTTTTTTCACTAAAAGAAAACTTGCTCACTTTTGAAAAATATATCTGTTACTCTTTTCTTCAACATGCTGACAGGACTAGTTTAGTATTTTATTAGTGGTAGACTCAGAAAATGTTGGGGTTTAGTTTCAGCTTTTACTATGTTTATAGGATTTTTATCTTGCATTTCTAAAATTTGATGTTCTAGTAGACCCTTAATGCAGGATTTCGACACTTTAAAGATGTCATCTCTTGTAACACTGAGGACAACGGAAGGAAAACTCAGTTTCTCTCTCTTCTGGTATTGAGCAGTAGTTCCATTCTGTAGTCTCTGGTACTGTTCAGTCATTTAACTCAGTCTTTTTCTATTGGATTATACTTAATAGAATGGAAACGGTTTTGGGCTAGTAGTAAGTCTGCTATGCGTTTAAAATAAATTTTTTCAGGTTTTTTTCATAGTGTGTTACATGGACAGTTTTCTTCTTTGTACAAATTTGATTGTGTGGATAAAGGTAATAAAACCATAGACACAGAATTTAAATTATGTTGATTTCTGCCAGTGCTTCCTGAAAGAAGGCTCCTTGGATTCTCTTGAGTTTTGAGAGTTCTCCTGAAGGTACAGATCACCTCTGGCAAATGCTGCCCTTTAATAGAAAAACACTTGGTTGTTGTAGCAGTTTCTTCAGTAGATTCCTTTTTACTTCGTACTGTTATGTGGTTGAAATTATTATGGGCATGTATTTGAGTGCCTGAAAACTTTACAAGGGTCACATTTTCTTTATCAGATACTGGAGTGTTTGCAGTGGTGAATAGTCGCTCTCTGTCTTTGCTGGGGAAACTGACAATCAGTGCTGCATTTAACATTGTCTACATCTACACATCAGAACTTTATCCCACAGTGATCAGGTAACACGAGTTAATTTTATGGTCTTCATTTTTCTGATTCTCTTACCTGATCACCTTTTATTGTCTCTTACGTACTTTTTTTCTATTAACTATACCTTTTCATTTGAGATTTTCAGTTATGTATAATGATTATCTGTAGTTTTATATGCTAAATTTCTTCCCTTTTCTTCTTCTCACTCCCACTTCCCTCAAATTTGCAGTGTTCTCTTCAGACTAACCATATTTTTTATATAATAGTAAAATAGTCATTTGGCTGCTTTGTGTGCTTACAGCCCTCTCCACTAATGAGGATAACAATAGTTTTGATGATACTTCTTTAATGGGTGATATCTGACTTTTTCAGTACTCTTTAAACCAGAGAACTCTATTAATCATTCATACTTGCTTAACCAGCAACACTGAAGATGACTTGGTCAATAAGCTTTGTAAAATTGATGCTTCATAGGCCATATGTAAGCACTAGTAAGGTTTCACTCACTAGAGGCAGAAGTACCTTGTGCTTGTGCTGACAGAGTAGACAAGCAACTATCATATGGGTGCAATTTTTAATAGATATTTTAACCAGGTATTACTGCTGATGATCAGCCACCAGTGAAACTATACTGTGGTGTTTTTCATGAGTGGGCAAATCTCCTGATAAATAGGATTTGGATAAAAGGATTTAGCCAAAGTTTCAGGCAGAAACATTATACGTTAATTGAAATCACACTTTTTTCTCTCTGTGTGTATGTATATAAGAATTCTGAACATGCAGAGGACTTTTTGCTTCTCTTTAAGCACAAAGCATGTTTTAATTCCTATCTTGATACTTTCAGTTACATTTGCCTTTTCTTTGCCAGTTAATGTGGTCAGGGTCATGACAGATATTTTTTTTTTTCTTGCTCAATAGCACTTCTCAAAAGTTATAATTTCTCCTATGCAAATGTCACTGATAAATGATTTTTGTTTTGTTAGGAATGTTGGAATGGGTGCCTGCTCCATGTTTTCCCGTGTTGGTGGAATCATTGCTCCTTTCGTCCCTTCATTGGTTTGTCTCAATTTCTCACTGTTCTGTATATTTTTGTGGCTCTAATCTGTCAGAGGCTTACAGAGGTGGGAATATTTTGGATAAAACATGTATATAAACTATGTAAATTGGATGTCTTAACAGTATCGTGGTAGGCCAAAGGCACTGTGATATAATCTGTGTAGTTAGACAAAAACTGAATATCATTTAGCCCTATAAGAATTTTGGGATTTAGCTAGTGGACTTTAGCAATACGGTAGTTTCAAAATACCAAGATAGTGATACCCAATTTTAAACCCTAAGCGAGCAATAGCAAAAAACCTACATAGTTAAAAGATCTACTCCACTAAGATAAAGCATAAGAGCTCAATAACTCATACTTCTGAGAAGAAATTAGTTTTACCATCAGTGCACTTTATTGAATATCCATGGATTGTAACTATCAGCAAAGCGGTTTATCTTTCAATGAATGAAGATGATGTTGTGGAGATCTGATATACCAGCAAGGCTTTTGAGCACAAACTTCACAGAAGTCTGTCAAGGCAAAGAAATTCTGAAGAACGAAACATGGGGATGATACTGTCATTTTCCTCTGTTCATAGTCTTATGTGTATGCAGGTAGAATAGTGTGCCTGTTTGTTTCATACAAACTGCTTGTGCAGGTCAAGTGACAATTCCTTTAATGTTACAAACTTCATCTGGATTAACTTTCCTCTCTGCCATTTGCCATCTTATGTCATGCAGAAGGCTAGCGAAAGGGCAGAAGAGCATAGTGAGCCTTTTAATCTGAAGAATGAAACATGGGGTAGATGAGAATGTGAGCACCTCTTGGGTACAACAGACAAAGCCAAGACTGGTGCAAATCTCCCAGGTAGATTTAATAGGCAGCTCTTATGTAACAGGTGAGGCATCTATTATGTTGTAACTAGCAGAGATTTGGCACTACAGGAGACGGAAGTCTTGGATCATGTTTGAAGGAGTCCCATGAAAGTGAAAATAGCTCTGTTTAAAAAAAAAAAAAAAAAAAAAACCACAAACAAACATTGATTTGAAGAAGGAATTAGGTATTTTTGTGTTTTGGAATTTCTTCAGCTATTGCATTTTTCAGTAACTTTTGTCTGGGAATCTTATAAAAAGGGTGAGATAAGAGATGAAGTGTTGCTCTTCTATTTGATCACAGCCTGTTATTAATTTAGAATTGTTCTTTACTATACAAAGTGAGTTTTTGAAACAAACAGCTAAACTCTTGCCTTTTAAATGAGCCTGCTTTACTGGTCATTTGAAAGTGAATGTACACAATTTGGAGCTATATTGTAGATTACTCATATTTTTGCACGCACCTTTCCCCAGTGTAGTTTTGCTTGTAACAGGACATGTGAAAACAGGAACAGGCATCAAAGGAGTATAAACATGGCTTAGGCTGTCAGGGATGATGACAGGAAGGTCAAAGCTCAGATGAAGCTAAAACTAGCAAGAAATATAAATAGGGATTCTGTCAGCTAAGGGAAATCTAGAGAAAGTTTAGCCTGTTGTTGAATGGGATGGATGACCTATTGTGGATGAGATGGAATAAGCTGAAATACTTAACACTTTTGCTTTAGTCTTCATAGGCAAAGCCTGACCTCAAGACTCTGTGCATATCAGCACAGTTGAGGAGGCAGAGGGCCAGTAAACAGTGGAGGAGCAATAGGTTCAAGAACACTTAAAGCAGAAAGCTTTCCATTCCATGGGATAGGATTCCCTAAGAGGTGGTGAAAGAGCTGGCTGTGATAGTGAGGCAAGTGTCCATCTGTGATTAACCATTGATGTAAAGAAAGGTCACTGATAACTGGGGGGGAAAAAGCTAATGCTATGTGTGTCTGTAAGATCAGGATGTCGATCCAGGGAGTTACAGACTGAGCAACTCAAACTCAGTCTCATGGGACATGACCTTTCAGAGTGTGTTTCTGAGCATGTGAAGGTCAAGAAGGTAACTGAGATCAGTAAATATGAATTTACTAAGGACAGTTCATTCTCAGCCAGTTTTATTTGATGGTCAGCCATTTCCTCACCCATATTACCCTCTGTGGTGAAAGGGAGGAGAGTAGGAAAAGTTTTTGTAAAGCTTTTGACACTATCACAGCATTCTTGTTTGGAAGCTGAGGAAGTATGTCCCCTGTGAAAGGAATATTAGATTTGAATGTTCCATGGACCACCGGGCTGAAAAGGATAGTGACAGGCTCAGTATTTGTTGGCTGGTGACAAGTGGAAGATAAGACAGAATACATCCTCGTATTTAGAGAATGCAAAATGAGGAGTGATCGACACACCAAATAGTAGATCTTTAATCCAGTGGGACCTTTTGAGCCAACAGAAATCCCATGAAGGCCAACAAGAAGAATAAAATTCTATTTCTCGTGTGGACTAATTACATGGTCGGTACAGGCTGGGAACCAACTGGCTGAGTAGCAGCCTGGCTGGAAGAGACCTGGGGATGACAATGGATGACAAGTTAAATGGGAGCTAGCAGTGTCCTCTCGTCACAAACAGGCAAACTTCACACTGAGCTAAATCAGGCCAAATTCAGTATGTGGCCCACAGATTGAGTTCCCTCCCAGTTCTAGAGGGATGTTCAAAAATCTGGGGAGGGTCCAGTGGAGGGTAGCCAAGGTGGTCAGGGGCCTAGAACACATGGCTTCACATGAAAGCTTGAGGGAATATTGCACCTTTGATCTTCCCAGTAGTGTGGAACAGTTCAGCACTTGGGGGTTAGATAGAAAATTTGGAAAATATTCTGAGGCTTAATGGAGCCCTGGAACAGTCCACTCAGAGGTGGGGGGAATCTCCATCCTTGGAGGTTTTTTCAATAGTTGGTTACACAAAGCTATGATTGACCTGATCTAGTGTTGGCTGTAGTCGTGCTTAGAGTAGGTGGTTGGCATAGGTGACCTCAAGAGATCTCTTCTAACCAGCATGTCTGTGATTCTGTGATACCTCTTTCTTACTACAAAGTGATGCTGTATGTATTAAGAAGTAGAATCATAGAATGGTTTGGTTTGGAAGGGACCTTAAAGATAATTTAACTCCTACCCCTCTGCCATGGGCAGGGACACCTTCCACTAGACCAGGTTGCTCAAAGACCTGTCCAACCTGGCCTTGAACACTTCCAGGGATGGGGCATCCACAACTTCTCTGGGCAACCTGTTCCACTGTCTCACCAACCTCATAGTGAAAAATTTCTTCTTTATATCTAATCTAAATCTACCCTTTTTCAGTTTAAAACCATTACCCCTTGTCCTATCACCACATGCTCTTGTAAAAAGTCCCTCTCCAGCTTTTTTGTAAGCCCCCTTCAGTTACTGGAAGGCTGCTATAAGGTCTCCCCAGACCCTTCTCTTCTCTAGGCTTCAACAACCCCAACTCTCTCAGCCAGTCTTCATAGGACAGGTGCTCCAGCCCTCTGATCATGTTCATGGCCCTCTTCTGGACTTGCTTCAACAGGCGAGGGGGCCCCAGAACTGGTTGCAGTACTCCAGGTGAGAGCAGAGAGGGAGAATCACCTCCCTTGACCTGCTGGTCACGCTGCTTTTGCAGCCTAGGATATGGTTGGCTTTCTGGGCTGCAAGCGCACATTGCAGGCTCATGTTGAGCTTCTTATCAACCAAAACCCCTGCGTCCTTCTCAGGGCTGCTCTCAATCCATTATCTGCCCAGCCTGTATTTGTGCTGGGGATTGCCCTGCCCCATGTGCAGGACCTTGTAGTTGGCCTCGTTGAACTTCATGTGGTTTGCATGGGCTCACCTCTCAAGCCTGTCAAGGCCCCTTCCCTCCAGTATGTTGACCACATGACTGGTGTCGTTGACAAACTTGCTGAGGGTACATTCAATCCCACTGTCCATGTCACCAACAAAGATGTTCATGGCCCTCTTCTGGACTTGCTTCAACAGCACCGGTACTAATACTGACCCCTGAGGAATGCCACTTGTCACTGGTCTCCACTTGGATATCTATCCTTGACCACGGTTACTTGAGTGCAACCATCCAGCCAATTCCATATCCACTGAGTGGTCCATCCATCAAATCTGTCTCTCCTATTTAGAGACAAGGATGGGACAGTGTCAAATGCTTTGCCTAAGTCCAGGTAGATGATGTCAGTTGCTCTTCCCTTATCCACCAAAGCTGTAACCCTGTTGTAGAAGGCCACCAAATTTGTCAGTCATAATTTGCCCTTAGTGAAGCCATGTTGGCTGTCACCAATCATCTCTTTATTTTCCATGTGCCTTAGCATAGTTTCCTGGAGGATTTGCTTTGCGATCTTGCTGGGCACAGAGGTGAGACTGACTGGCTTGTGGTTCCCTGGGCCTTTCTTTTTTCCCTTTTTAAAAATGAGGGTTATGTTTCCCCTTTTCCAGTCAATGGGAATTTCACCTGACTGCCACAACTTCTCAAGTATAGTGGCATAGCAGCTTCCTCTGCCAGTTCCCTCAGGACCCATAGATGCACCTCATTGGGCCCCATGGACTTGTGTACCTTCAGGTTCCTTAGATGGTCTTGAACCCAATCTTCTCTTACAGTGGGTGGTTCTTCATTCTCCCAGTCCCTGCCTTTGCCTTCTGCAACTTGGGCAGTGTGGCTTGAGCACTTGCCAGTGAAGACTGAGTCAGTCATTGAGAGTACATATGTTATAGACAGGAATTGAGTATAAATTCAGCAAGCATTTCTTTTAAAGTCCATACCAAAATCTGTATGGATCTAATAGTATTGATAAGATACAATTGACAATATTGGTTAAAAAAAGAAACAGTGGGATTGGTAACTTATGCTAAATAATGAACACAAACACTTGCCAGATGGAATGGTTGTAAAAGTTAAGTGCTTTAATATACAAGTATGAACTAGAAAGAGCTAATCTCAACCTAACTCTCTCTGTTCTTTTTTCCAGAAGTCTGTACAGTGGTCTCTGCCTTACATTGTGTTTGGAGCGACTGGTCTTTTGTCTGGGCTCTTAAGTTTATTGTTGCCAGAGACCTTAAACAGCCCTTTGCTGGAAACTATTTCAGACCTGCAGGTATGCTCATACTGGAGGCTGGGTGATGAAGCCATGTCATTGCAAGCACTAGATGGCTCACAGGTATAAATTTTTTTCCCTAGTACTTTTGTGTTTATTTCAGCTGTCATCTTGAATATGCCACTCTAAATAGATTAGGATAGTGATTCTTGGCCTGTGAAGGACAGGCCCCAAGGAGATAGAAAAGATAGTTTAGTAACCTTACTGTCGTGTCTGAAGTGTTGTCTTGAAATGCAGGCTGAAACATGGGTGTGTTAATTCATTCCTTCAAGGCCAAAAGTTTACAATCTTCCTTTAGGATAAATGACACGGTGATGTCTGTGGCTCTCTAACCTCTAAGATGGATTGCTGCAGCATGCTTCATGCAAAGCCAGCCATTGAAGTTTGAGAAACCTTAGACATTAAAGAAAACAGAAGCCTGTTTATGAAGGGCTGTTCTCAAAGGCAGTACACTGCAATGTCAATTGTTAAGTCTATCCTAGAGAGTCTTTGAATGGGTTAAAGCTATACTGACCTCTGAGATATGTCCCACTGTTGATTCTGGGAAATGAGATTCATTGCGAATGTCGGAACTACAAAACTCTGAGGCATAAGCATAAATAAATGTGTAAGCAGGATGTTTTTCAGTGAGGTTTCCTTGAATGTTGTTTTTTCATACCACTTTACTTAATTTTGTCAAACTCCTGGACCACTCTTGAGGTGCGTACATCTTCCAGTTGTGTGGAAGCTTTTTTATATGGCTGCTCCTCCTGTGAATGGAGTGGGATTGGAGAGAAGTAGCTAGAGAGCTGGAAGTGGGTGTTTGAATTTGTGTAAAGTTTTAACGTTTAAATCCTGGTCCTAAAATTAAGTATCGATGGACTAGTAAAAATTGAAAAAGTGGTCAGAAGACTTGAAGGAAAACTCATAACAAAAAAATGTTAGTTGTCTCATTAGGCTGAGATGAGACAGGATTCTTATAACATGTTTTACTTACATTTGATTAACTTTTGGTCATGCAGTCTGAGATTCACAGGTAGTCATAAACTTACTTTCATAAAAGGGAGGCAGGGTAACATTTCTAGAATGACAACAGTTGCTCCCTTTCAAAGGCTTCAACATGGTGCTTTGTTTACCAATTTTAGCTGTAATAATTCTTGACAGGACAGGACAGTTTAGTGACAAAAGCACCCTTGAAGAAAGCTTGAAAGAGGCAGCCCTGTAACAATTTTATACTTTAGGTACTTTACATGCACATGTTATAAAAATTTTTAACCATACTGGATAATGTGTCATGGCACCACATTCTTGCTGGCTAGATAAATCCATCGTATACATTTAAATCAAGTTTACACCAGCTGTTATTTTGGTAATTACATCATTATTACACCTTAACTGCACAGATGGCTTACAAAAACAATGCTAGCAAACAGTGCAGGTGTTATAACTTAGAGTGGGGGAAAGTCACATTTTTATTTTCTTTTCTAACCAAGTAGGGTCAGTATTGCCCTTTGGAGTGACAAGTATTGTCTGCCTATCAGTATTTGTACAACTTGATTCACTTATGTCAAGCAGTCTTCTCAGGTCTCAGTCTTCCCTGTTTGCACTTCTGCAGGCTTCTTAAAAATCCCAAGCTGAACAGGATCCACAAAAGAAAAAAAAAATTGAGAATGTTCTTCAGGAACACTTTCCCCAGATGGATTAAAATTATTGAATCCAAAGGAAAAAGTTGTTGGTTCAGGCCTGAAGTAATCCTGTTACAACTTCACTGAAGTATCTGGAATGTCTGTGACACATTAGGGGTTTATTTTAAAGCTCACAAAAAAAGTGCTGATAAAATGGAAAATGTCTTAAACATTAACCCTATTTGACAAGGCCATGGAGAGGCCTTACAAAGCTGCTGTAAGAAAGATGTAGAATTTATTTGGCATACTCTGAATTCCCCCTGTGGAATCTATTGTCCTTTTGTACCACTTTCAGGATAACTAACACGCATTCTGGTTGCCCAGAATGGAGGTTTAGTACCTGTTAACATACATGAATGTGATATTCAAGTTGGACAGCATGCAGTGATAGCCTGACTTTCCTCAAATAATTTTAGAAATCCAGAAAAAAGCATAACATGATTTGCTTTATCTTCTGACAGGTCTTAGTGCTCAAACTGTTTGAAATTCCTTTGCAGTTAACGCTTACTGCTGTAGCAAAAGAAGACAGGTCTAAAGCTACAGATTTTGCTTGCATGCTACTGTCAATCAGGAACACGATTCCCACTTCTCTGTTTTTTACCCTCTTTGCATACGACTAGGCAGGCAGAAGTCTTAGAGTAGATGCAAGCATACTGGAAAAAATCCTAAATACTCAAGCTAGATGGAGTTTATACTGTCAAGAAAATCTTTTGAACTGCAATAACTTGCATCGGTTCCGTGGAAAAATGCTACACCAGCCAAATAAAAATCAATTAGCTGTAATAGCTGACTTTAGTTTGGGTATATGATATAAATTATGTTGTTGAAAGGACTCTGCTGGAGTAGGTATGTCTATAGTAGAAAGTTTACCACTTCATATGGTCAGAAAGTAAAGGTTTTTTTCCCCTTTTCTGTAACACATTTAATATTGCAGGGGGATCTTTTTAATTAAACTTGCATAGGAAAATGCCCATGCTAAGCATGGAAAAGTAATAATTCAGGGTGGAGAAGCTTTGACCTAATCAAGTAACCTGTGTGTTCTGAGCCCCTGTTTCCAGTAGCTTACCACAGAGTAGGGACCTTAGACTTACATTGGGAAAGCTGAGTAGATTATCACTTCAGAACATTCTAGCCCGTCTCTCTCCTGCATGTATTCTCGAGTGTACTGGAGCAGAGAAAGTCCATCCAACTAGAAGCCGATCTCTTTTAAAGAGGTTTTCGAGAACCAAGGACACAAAAGACATTATGTGAATTAAGATTTCTTTACAAAGTTTTAAGATAGTGATTTGACCGGTCTTTTCTTTCTTTTTCTCTACCAGCATTCCAACAGAGGTGTAATGGTTCATGCTTATGTATTTTGAGATTGACCTTGTGGCTTCTGCACTAACCAGTGACTTCATTTTTATTTCTAGTCTGGAGACAAAGACAGCTCTGCAGGGAGTGGAAGTGAAGATGAGGAGTTTTATGATGCTGATGAAGAGACTCATATGATCAAGTAATGAAAAGAAGAAATGCTGGCCTATTTTATGCCTTTTCTTACTTGTTCAGTCTGTCCAGCTGTAAGACGAGTACTGAGGACCTCGCCTGTCAGGGAATGTATTTGGGCAAGTGCCTGTGTTTTTCCTGACTAGGAGAGGGGTTTGAGTATTGTTCAGACTAATTACACCACTGATGCTCTCTATGCGAGAGCTGTTCAAATTCTTGTGGTTCAGAATGATGGTGCACAGACAGCACTTGAAGCCAGGTGAGTCAGCGAGGGTGGGATCATGTATTTCTGAAGCCTAGGAAATTACCTAGGCTTAGACAGATTTGGAGAGATATCAATGAACGTTCGTATTTTATTTTTAAGGTGGTTGATTTTGATTCAGTATGAATCGATAAACTTGAAAGAATCCACTGTTTTTTTTCTGTAGAGTGAAAGTGGTCACACACACACAGAATGTGCTCTGTGCTGCTCCAGTGGGAACAAACTCCTGAAATTGTATGTTAAAATAGCTTCTGCATATTGAATAGGAGAGAGGCAACTATGAACATAAGGTTTCTCTCTGGGCACACAGACACCTGTATAGAGTTACAGGGTGCAGCTGGTTAGTCATGAGCTGTGCATTAACTTAGTGCTAATGGCAGGCTGGGAGGGAGGACTACAGAAAAGAGCAACCACAAAGCCTGCAGGTGTAAAGGACATTACTGATATTTTTTCTTTTTATCCACCAGGCATTTTCTTGGGCTATCTTATACATTTGCCACATGTTCCACCCATTTCAGCACGGCTGTTTATAGCTTTGCCTACTTTTATCTTGTCCTCACTTTGCCATAAATATTGAAGCTTGGCAACTTCTCTGTGCAGTGAAATCATTCTGTGAAGGGTATAATTTCATGAGTGGGACATATGCGAGGTATTTATCACATTGTGTGAGGTGTGTGTTAGAATATGTAACTCATTTTTGTGGACCTATCTGTGTCTTTATTTCTGGAAGAAACTGAACTCTGAAGTGGTAAGAGGAACTATGGGTTGCTGTTACATTTTTGGGATTATTGCCAGGAAGCTGCTAGTATTTATTTGTGTGTAGATAAAGTTCTCCTTTTTTTTTTTTTTTTAAAAAGGGCAAACCTATTGAGACAGCATTTGGTTACTTGATGATGTTTCTTAACCAGATGCTTGCTCAAACACTTGGTTACTTGACCTTAAGACAACTTCATTCTCCTGTTTACACTGAACTTTCTCTAAGTGCTTCATTAGAAGGATGTAGAATCTTGAAATCTGAAACATGAACGCATGAAATGTTCCAACTACAAAAAAGTGAGGCCTTGCAAGGATTCAGTTTTCCTGAGTATATCATTTTAGTCCTCTAACCTGTGGCTCTCTAAGACTGATTTCCATAAAATACTGGTTAATCTTTATACTTAGAGTTCCTAGCAAAGTGCCACACAATGGCAGCAAGTATATTGTCAGGCTCACTGGTCATTTTTGTGGATGTTAGACTGAAAAAAAGAATTAAAATAAACCAAAAAACTGACTGCTGAATATTTTCTTGTTAAATTGGGAAGTTCCTTTACTCTCAAAAGAAGTGAAAATAAACAGCATCTGAAGTTTGCAGCAAGCTGCTTCAATTTTGTTCATTGGGAACTGTAACGCTGAACAAAGCACAACGACTCTGGTTGGTGCAGAGAGCAGCCCAGAGACCGCAGATTCACGCTTGCAGTACTCCCACTTGGCCTGAAGTTAATCCAAGCCTTGACTGTGAGCAGAGTTGGGAACTTCATTCCCTATGGACAATGTGTCAGTATTGTTGTGATTTTTGCCTGTGTTATGAGCTCTACTAGAAGAACTCCAGCCGGCAATCTTCACTTTGGTTTTTTTTCCAGACTGTTGAATAGTTGTGGTGGATGTGGCAGGGCACTCTTAAACCCAGCTGGGTAGTCTTTCTGCCTTATTTGGCCATTTTGTCTGCAAGAAAATTGGTCCAGTTAAAGTGGTTGGAAATACTTGGAAAGGTTGAATCTATTTGTTCAAAGAATTTTTTTAGTTTTACACTCACATTTTGAATTCTGGACAGCTGGAAAAATTACTTTTAGAAGCCATCAGCAACAAAATAAATAAAACCTGTTTAGAAGCAAACAGTGGTAAGCCTGGTGGTATTAACATTCTGCCAAGACCCAACAGTGTTTTTAGATGTTTGCTGCCTCTGTCTCTCTTTGGACGGTAGGTGGAGTAAGTCACCTGAGGCAGACAAGAACTGTTAGCTTTCCTCCCTCCATAACTTTACTGTTATTATCTGCTACTGGCAACCCTGGTCATGCCATGGGACACCTCAACATAGTCATTAGAATGTTAGAATGCTGTAATGGTTCAGGTGGAGGAGATCACTGTTTGCAGGACCTGAGCTGGATTTTGTGACAATCCTCAACTTTTAATTAAAAACTTACCTCTCCATTCATGCACTTTCATATCATAAATATACATATGTAAAATTGCAAAAACAAGACTGAAGAAAACATCAGCACAGGTAGTGTTTTCATCAATCCCTTC